AACGCCGGTATGTGTTCGCTCACCTCCCGATCTACTGAGCCGACCTGTGACAGTCTCATTGTCACAGGTCGGCTAGAACTATGAGGTGAGTGAAAAGCACTCCCCTCATAGTTCTCCTTTAAGGTTACACTGACCCAGAACACGTATGTTCTGTTCACTTTCTTTGTGCATGCTCCAGATCAGTGGTGCCAAACATTCTAAAGCCTGGGCGGACCAGCGGTGTAATGTTTAATAGAAGTCTCTCAACACAGATGCCCTTTGACGGGAAACTGGTCAAGATACGAGTATGGTATGTGAGTAAAAGTGGGCATTAAAGTGAATCTGCAAAGGCATCAGGAAACAAAGATGGCAGCTGTCACCCTGCTTATTTCTGAAGGTTCAAGCCTCACAGCCATCATTCTTACTAGGAATGAGCTCAGGTTCAGTAAAACAAAATTGGGGGCATTAAAGCATAATTAAACCCTCACGATTGTTTTGCATATATCTAGTGCTAGCAAGCACTAGATATATGCAAAAAAATTTTTTTTTAAAAAGTCACCAAATAAGGTAATATCTGTGTCTCCGCCGCTCGCACCCGTCCGAAAATCTGAAAAATTCTCGAGCAGCCGCAAAGGATCATGGGGCGGGTGCGCATAGAGATCTTCGGCCGGGAGAAGGGCGAAGACACAGGGTAAGTCAATGCAGGCAGCACACACGCGCACAGACTGCGTGGGACACAGAAGACACAGCAGTCAGCGCTGGATCAGAGAACCGGCACCAGCGCTGGAGGGACGCCTGAGTCCAAGTGGAAAGACGAAGATGCATCATTTAAGGCAAGTCCTTAAAGCAGCATGGGGGAGGGGAGAAATTGTCCTTTAATTTCACTTTAAGGTGAATCTGTTACTTTATATTTTTTTTTTAAGTACCACAGTGCCAAAGGTTGGGCACTAGGGGTCTGCTATCAAACAAGGAAGGGGGCTGATTCTAGACATGACTTCATAACTAGGGCAAGGGGACCGGTAAATCTAGGTCTATGTGAACTTACGGGGATCGTGGAGTCGAGGCCTTTTGATTTCATGGAGTCTGGTGTCGGATTTGCTGAGAGACCGAAGCTGGGTCTGACGCAGCAGGGTCTGGAAAATGACACGGACAACGGTCAGAGACAAAATGGATTACCAAATACAAAGATTCCAATATGCCACAAAACTAAAGCACAACGATGGGAAAAAAAACAAACAATCACTCTTCAGTTTTGTATAGACTTGAAGGGGATTCATTGAACAGAAAATACATTAAAAGAGTGTAAAGCTAAAGGTTTTGTTTTTTTTAGTAGTGGGGAAGCCCTTGTCAGGCTTTTACTGCATTATAACGATAGAAAAGAGCATATAGGGGCACGATTTTGTCAGCCCCAACTACCACTAGTGCAGGAAATTACACTGAGTGGCCAGATTATTATGACCATCAGTACTTCGTTGGGCCACGAGATGACTTCGTTGGGCCACGAGATAACTCCACGAGATGATGAAAGGTGATGCTAGGAATCTGACACGGCACTGTTGCCCTTCTGTTGTCTTATACAAGTCTTGCCACTCTCCGTTCTGCCCTAACATTGACTAGTCGCTGACGGCCACAATTCGCACGTTCAGACCCAGATTTTCGGCTGACAGTCCGGTCTTTAAACACTTTAACAACAGCTGCTCTTGTACATTTAACAAATTCTGCTGTTTTGCTGATACTCGCTCCATGGCTCCGAGCGCCAACAATCATCCCACGTTCAAAGGCTGTTATATCGCGTTGTTCCCCCATATCTTCAGAAACAAATCACTTCTACTGTCGTGGTAACCAACCTGCTTCCCTATTTATAATGGTCTGGCCCTCCAGCAACTTCAGCGCCAAATTATAGCTAATCTGCCTACAAACGTCAGGTGGTCATAATAATCTGGCCACTCAGTGTATAGTTGGATCCAAAGGTCTTGCTGTTCCAAATCGGAGAGGAAGTCTACAATTGTAATAAAAACACAAAAAGGACACAACAACCTTGTGCGCATTTTATAACACATGAGGTCAACCTTTTGGTGATTGTTTGTTAAGATTCATCCTATTTGTCTTGTTGAACATTGCTTATGGTACAGAAAGTAAGGGAAGATCCAAAATGTTTCAGCCAAAGTCACAGGAGCAGGAGGCTAGGGGGGGGTCTTCCAATGGTGACACCTGTTCTGGTGACAACTAATAAGGGATAGTCCTCACTTTGGGTAAATCTCCTCTTACTTCCTGCTGTCTCTCAGGGGCAGGAAGTGAAGGGAAATGTTCCCAGTGGGATGTGGACAGAAAACAAAATATCTGACAGGGGTCTCAACTGGTACCTACTGTATTTAAATCTTAGAAAAATGTCATTAAATATACTTTAAAGGGAAGTCATTATAATAAAAACATGGTGGTTGTCACCCCCTGACTAATTTTTGGAGGTGCAAGCATCAGAGCAAACATCTTTACTAGGGATGAGCTCAGGTTTGGACCAAACCCACCTAACCCAAGCTCCTTGGAACATGGAAGGAGCTCCTTCTGAAAACATAAAGAAGTTACTTCCGTGCCACCCATTCAGCTGCGGGCACTTGCAGTTGATGTACCCTGTTTCCCCGAAAATAAGACCTACCCCGATAATAAGACCTAGTACTATTTTTGGGCATTTGCTAAAATATAAGACCTACCCCGAAAATAAGACCTAGTTGTGACCTTTCCCAGGGCCGGTGGTTGCATAAGGGGGAACTTGAAGAGCCGGAGGAGAGAATCAGCGGTGCCAACGAAGCCAGATATAGAGGAAGCGAGGAGGCACCGGAGGGAGCAGAGCCGCATAAGCCGATGCTTCCTCCTGTCACAGGCGGAGTGATACCAAACTCACTCCGCCTGTGAGGAATACTAGTGAAAGCGCGATTGGTTACCAAATTGCTCTTTGAAAGGTACGGCACCCCTGATTTCCCTGATCACCCTATTCTTAACTTTGCCGTTTTGGATTATTTAATTTGGATTTGGATTTGCATTAACTTTGGATTGTTGTACATTAAAAAAAAAAATAAGACCTACCCTGAAAATAAGACCTAGTGTGTTTTTTTGAGCCCAAAAAATATATAAGACAGTGTCTTATTTTCGGGGAAACACGGTAAGCAAAGGAGTGGGATGCAGTGACATCATTTACCTTATATGGCTACATTCCTATATTTGGTAAATGACATTCACCAAGGGGGGCATGTCAGCCAGGCTGACTACAAGAGTACATGTCAGCACCGTGTCCTGTAGTTTCATTCAGGAGCTGAGGAATACAAACTGACCACGCCAGTACGGATCTGCTTCCATGATGGTGTGGTCAGAGACTGGAAGGAAGTGAGTGGTATTTGCTGCTAGGGTTGCCACCTTTTCTTCAAGCGAAACCCAAAGACTCTAGCGACGAGCGGACATTTATTCATATGTAAATAGCGCCACCCATTTATATGTAAATATCACAGTGGGGGGCCAGTATCCCCCATCTTAAATTTGGTTGCCCTGTCGGCCTGACATCTTGTATCCAGGTTTCTGCTGCCATGAAACCCGAACACAGCATTCAAAACCCGGACTGTCCGGGTCAATCCTGTACATGTGGCAACCCTATTTGCTGCACATTATGAAACCTAAAGGAATAAATGGGTCATTTACAAGAGGGCAGAGGAATACATTTACACAATTTGAGCCTCAGGGTCTTCAGACACATACAAAAAAAAAAACCAAACACCTTGCGAAACTCTGAACATTCAGTCTCAAGTCGAATGTATAGCCACAACTTTCTATTTTAGTTTCGGCTAGAGTAGGGAAGGGTTAAACAAAAAAAGTCCCTGTTATTTGTTTTTATTGTCTGTGTCCTGTTGGAGAGATTTCCCCATCACTTTGTGTGCCAGAGGCTCAACAGGAAATGGAAGGAAAACGCTGCAAAGTGGTGGGATTTCTACTCTACGCTGTCACTGAAACAGGTGTCCCCTTTGGAAGATTTCCACCAACCTCTTGTTTTGGTGACAACTCCTAACATTTTGGATCTCATCACTTTCTGTTGTGGTGGCTATGGTCACCAGTAGAAATCAGGAGGGTAAACCTCCCCAGCAGAGACTTTGGCAGTAATAAAACCCTGGCAGGGGTTCTAATCTGTTCCTACTCCATCACAAAGGTGCCTGGAGATGGGCTACAGCTAAATAAGGAGTGACATATTAAAAATCATTCATAGGCGGGCGTACAAAATTACTATAATAGAAACACAATGGAGGGAATTTATCAAAACTGGAGCAGACAGAATCTGGGGCAGTTACCTTTTGTAACCAATCAGCTTCTCTCTTCAGTTTGTTCAGTTCAGCTTAGAAAATTAAAGAAAGAAGCTGATTGGTTGCCACAGACATCTGGTCCAGAGTCTGTCTGCTCCAGTTTTGATAAATTCCTCCCAATCACTATTCGTCCATACATCAGTATTATAATTTACCACATCCACAAGGGCCACTCCGTTGGGACGGACATTCCTTAACCTCCTCTTCCTCCTAAACAGGGACAAACATATCCGATATTAACAGCAAATCCACATCTGCCTTCAGGGCCCATTCACGCCACATCCAGATCATCTCCAGACCAGACCAGAATGTTTCCAGACCCAAAATGCATCCTAATGTATCCTTATGCTATGGCCTCATTCACAGTGCTAAGAGCCGGCCCATACAGATCCATGCGGCGTGCACGGCCTTATTGGGCCGCTCCTGGGAAGGACAGAAGCTGTAATTGTACGTAGCAGCCTGTTCTTCTCTATAGGAGTAAGCGGCCGTACACTCACCCGAATTGCACATTCGTACTGGTGCGGGTGTCCGTGCTAGGACGCAGACAGGATCCATCCTCAGCACGGATGTGCAGTTCGGGTGAGCGTACGGCCACATACTCCCATAGAGAAGAACAGGCTGCTGCGTACAATCACACGCAGCACCTGTCCTTCCTGGGAGCGCCCTGATACGGCCGTACACGCCGCATGGATCTGTATGGGCCGGCTCTTAGCCGTGTGAATGAGGCCATAGCATAGGGATACATTAGGATGCATTTTGGGTCCGGAAACAATCCGGCTCTTAGCAGCGTGAATGAGGCCTATTTCTGGCCTCTGTTCACACCAGCGCAGTCCGCTCCAGACCAGACCAGACAAATACTGCATGTCCCATTTTGTCTGGTCTGGAACGCACTGGAACTCATCAAAAATGCATGCAAATGCACTGGAACGCACCTGAAAGCCCATTTAAAGCTAATTTAAAAAAACAGCTCCGGGATGCGGCAAAATTGCAGTAAAAAAAAAAAAAAAGCGGCAAAAATGCAGCAAAGCGCAATGCACTGCATTCCAGATCTGGTCCAGAAAATGGTGTGAACCTGCCCACGACCTTTTCATGCACAAAGAACAATGTCTTCAGCGAGTAGCATTCTTAATAACTTTACAAGGCTGCATGAATACATTACTGACGTGTAACAATATATAGCAACAGTATCTGTTTTTAAAAACACATTTCACCTTCTATCATTGAAAGCACTTCCTGTCCTAGGGTGACAACACTGCTCATACATGGGCACAGTACAGCGAGCTATACTATAGGACAGGAAGTGATACTAACGGGATCTCTAGGTGAACATCAGGGGATAAAAACCTGCAAGGAAACGAATGCAGTCATCACATCTAAGGACTGGTAAGATGCAATATAGAATTTTGTTCTTGGGTTTAATACCTTTTAAAGCCCAGCTCCAACCCAACTTTGTCATTTATTTTGGATCGAGAGCACAGGAAAGAATTGGAGCCTTTTTGTTTGTATTGTTATCTATGCTCCTATCAGTGAAACTGACTTCCTGTCAGGACAGGGGACACATGCAAAAATAAAAACAAATTATAGTAAATTGAAAAAGAATGTAAATGTTTTCTTGCTGTCCGTGACTTCCTGTATTGCTATAATTATATATATATAAAACCCTTCCCATAAAATTGTCTGGAGTTGCAGATCCAATCACGACTGGTTCTCTTAACAAACTCTCGCTCTTCATCCCACCGCAAGCGCCTTTGCATTCGGCGGTTCCTATTTCTTAAAGTTCCTTCTTTTTTTTTTTTAAAGGATGAATCAGCGACTGGAGGAGACTGCTGACAACAGAGCGTTATATTTGGAGTGACGTACCTTCTCTTGCAGAGGGCGCACAGCCCGCACAGCAGAAGAAACAGACCCAGCGCAGAGAAGAGGGCAGGGAGGATGTGACCTGAGGGTGAAGAAATCACGGGACGCGGAGCCATAGTGGCAACTTGCACCTAATAGCTATAACAAGAGAAAAGAACAATATGCTAATGGTCACGTTAAATAGAATTGACAATCATGGCTGATCGGGCATTATCTGAAATATGGGTCACGTCGGATGATTGTACAGCTCGATGTGGGGTGCATCATGGCTCACAGCTTGCAATACTCAGGAGGCCTGGTAATGTACTGTTACACCACTTCCTGTGAAGGTGCAGGTGTCTGCACCCTGCTCAGCTCTGCATGTGGTTTAGCACTGCAGCTTAAACAAGTGAGATTTTGTCTTTCATGACTCACTAACCTGCACAATGTTGCGCCTTTCACCCCTAAAGCTATTAGAATTCATGTTTCCCTGACGTAGATAGTTGCTGCATGATCCTCGCTATCATTTGAGTCCCTCAACCAATCACAGGGGGACTTATGATCCCTGGACCCCAAATATAAGTCTACTACTACCCATGCGTGCCACCAAGGACACAGACATTTGGGAATCTGTTGGGCTTTTTATGTTTGCTTATCCTTGAAAAAAAATAAAATCTTGTGTTCTACTTTAAAGCAAACCTGTCATTGGATATAATATAGAGGCTGCCATCACTTGCAAGATGTCTGGCTGTTATGCCGACCCCTTGCCATTTACATGGAACTTTAGTTTTTTGGTTTTAATTCAAGTGTATAAATAAGCAATAATATCAAAACAACAAAAAAACAGCTTATCCTGCAATTCTCATCTTCAATCCATAACTGTCACTTGTACTAATATTATTCCAGCACTAGATGCCAGCCGTTTTCCTAACTGAATGATGGCCAGCATCATTTAACCCACTTTCTATGAGCCCTTATCTGTAATGGGCACATCACCTGCGGGTGGGTCATCACGCCAGCCTGAGCTCTCTGTACTACGGCACTGAACAGCACTTATGTGTCATTAAGGGAGCGTTGTTCAGTGCAGGAGTAAAGACAGCCCCATGTCATTGCATGATGACCACCAGCATTATATTCCACTTCCTCTAAGCCCAGGCTGTCATGGACACACCCCCTGGGGGCAAGTCATCATGCCAACCTGAGCTCTCTGTACTACGGCACTGAACAGCGCTTATATGTCATTAAGTGACCGTTGTTTAGTGCAGGAGTAAAGACAGCCCCATGTCATTGAATGATGGCCAGCATTATATTCCACTTCCTCCAAGCCCAGGCTGTCATGGACACACCCCCTGGGGGGGCAAGTCATCATCCCAACCTGAGCTCTCTGTACTACGGCACTGAACAGCGCTTATATGTCATTAAGTGACCGTTGTTTAGTGCAGGAGTAAAGACAGCCCCATGTCATTGAATGATGGCCAGCATTATATTCCACTTCCTCTAAGCCCAGGCTGTCATGGACACACCTCCTGGGGGCAAGTCATCATCCCAACCTGAGCTCTCTGTATTATGGCACTGAACAGCGCTTATATGTCATTAAGCGAGTGTTGTTCAGTGCAGGAGTAAGAACAAGCCCCTGCCATTGAATTATAGCCAGCATCATTTAACCCACTTCCTCTGAGCCCAGGCTGTCATGGACACACCCCCTGGGAGGCGGATCATCACGCCAACCTGAGCTCTCTGTACTATAGCACTAATGTCGCTTATACGTCAATAAGTGAGTACTATTCAGTGCAGAAGTAAGAACAGCCCCCCGCCATCGCTGGAGGAGAAGAAGAAGAACCTGTGATGTCATCGGACCGGCCAAAAGACCCTTAGAAAAAAATGTGAATACATATATGTAAAATGTCGTTCCCGTGAGAGGTTTCCTTTCCAGTAAAGTGGTGCAAAGAGAAAGAGCAATGACCAAACAGCCCTCAACAACAGGCTATGAGTCTTTGATGGCCACATCACAGAAACACATTCTATTGAATCCTATTGATCTTTGGGTTACTGCGATTTGCTGCGACCTTACTGGTAAGTATTATACATGCATTTTTCAATTGCCGCCACATTTTATTCAATGTAATTTGCAAATAGGAGTCGATTATTCATCTAGGGAAATTAAAGATTTTTAGTAATGAAAAACCGGATTGACATTGTTTAGGTATTGTCAGTGGAATGACCTGATCACATATCTGTTTTGACGGCTTCTGATAACAGATCACAACGTTTCCTGAATCCGAATGCACCGCTTTGGTATTATCTGTATTTAGTGGACGAACAATTATCTCTGAACTATTATCTCTGGACTATTATCTCTGAAAGGAATGTTTTTTGATGGCACAATTGAGTGGACGAGGCTCTGCAAGTCCAAGAAATCCAACACAAATCTAGCAAGCACTGTCCAGTCTCTAAGGGAAGACGAATGTAGGTTATGCACGCAGCGAATATCGGATGGTTCTTGATGAAATGGCCGAAATCCGCTGCCTGGGTGCCACTGTTGGCACCTTTCCGCCGGCATCTCTCCATCAGCTGATCAAAGGAGCAGGTTGGATAATTCTCGGCCAAACGAAGATTGCAGCCTATCAGCTGCTAGCTACATTCAGGTATTCTGACAGCAGGGAATTCCTTGATCAATGCTCGTAAGCATTGATAGCAGAATCTGTTCTATTGTTTTTATTCAGCCCTCAGGCTTAAAGCTAGCCATACACACTTCAAATTTCCCGTGGGGCTCAAAGAGAGAAACCCATCAATTACCCCTAAACAGCGTAGATGAAGGACTACAGGACTACCGTATGTATTGTGCACCTCCAGGTAGGGAGTAATGTTGGTCTTGGCAGGCCGATAGCAGGAATCGAACAATATTCAAGGAGTTTATAGCCAGCATAAGTTAAGCAGAGATTGATACGAATGGCTGTTGGGCAACATAGAAGGAAGTTAGGGGGACTGGTACCGGCTCTAGTGCTGGCCAAGAGCCTCAATTATAAGAGACAACAGCTAATAAAACTGGCATTTAATATACAAATATATTATTATTATTATATTTACATAGCGCCAACAGTGTGCGCAGTGCTTTACAATATAGGGAAGACATTATAATTACAATACAATTCAAGACAAGATGGGTAAGGATGGCCCTGCCCGTGCGGGCTTACTGGAGTTTTACCAGTAGTAATTAAAATACATCAAATGAATGTGAATGAATTCGTTACCGGACTCAAAGATGATTGAATATCGGTCTAAAGTTCTGTGTTAAAAGAAACGGAAAAGAGGGCACTTCTGCCAAAAAATATAAATGTATTAACGAACAAGGGAAAGAAGCTCTAAGTGCTGTAAAGGGATAGATGCAGGAGATAACTGCAGTCAGGCAACATGGCTCATCAAGTTATCATTTCCCTCTGGACACAACAGACTTGTCAAAAACCTGCCTAAGCGTTGGGGGACACACAGGGTAATAATAACCTTCCAATCACAGAGGTGTTACCAAATCCATGACTACTACATACACTATAGGCCAAAAGAATGTGGACACCTCCCACATTATTGAGTTCAGATGCACAAAGCCAGGTTCATAAGGACACAGTATGAGGAGTTTGGTGTACAGGAACTCAAGTGGCCTACATGAGCCCTGACCTCAACCCTATTGAGCACCTGAAATGGAATGCCGTAGTTGAGCCACGTCTTCTCATCCAACATCAGGACCTGACCTCACAAATGCTCTTCTGGTTGATACAGAGTGGGGCAACTCCATTTTAATGGTCATAGTCCTGAAACGTGATGTCCTTTTTTAGCACATCATATTAGGTGGAGATCATCATATTCCACATTAGGTGGAATGGTGGGTGTGCACAAACCTTTAGCATCATAGTGTATGTGGCCGACAGTTCCATGTGGGATCAATAGGATTAATTTTTCTCATACAGTTCCCTTAGATGTGGTGTGAACCTTGTAGCGACTGTTCGAAAAAGCACGTTGTCGAATGCTTGGGCTGACATCTCAGTATTTGGCCGAATTCTGAAGCAGGAATGGGGGGAATCTTCGTTGCTGGGCTACTGTATTCTGGCCGCAGTCATTATTTGGCTAACAATTTTTGGCCTGTTTACTTAAACAAAAGACAACTTAAAAATCAACTTTTGGGAAATGGAGCAGCGGCCACAGGGCAACCGACAGCACAAATTTTGGTCAGCAGGCTGAATTTTAAGCCGGTTTAATAGCAAACCTAAAAGGCAAAAAATAAATCACTCTCCTCCATTTTGAAATGATATAGTCCAAAAGCTGACATTTTCCATCCAGATGCATCTCAAAAGCGCGTTTTAAGTTTATCCGTATCCTGTGAACATACAACCTCTTGTTTTTGTTGTAGTGAAACCACCAGCACTTTACAGACCAAATCAATCGCTTGAAAATCCGCTAAACCCCCACATCAAGGTGAATACCGTCATTAAAGAGACAACAGTGGCAACAGCCAGACAACCACGAAGCTCCAAACAATTTATAACCCCAAAAAATGTTTCTTCACACAACAGTGCTCTTACCTTTGGAATGGACAATCAGTCATGATCCTAGGGTGCGTCACCGACCCCACAGGGCCTAGCCGTCGTCTATCGTCGTGCAATCTACTGGAAGACAACTGAGCATCTATGGAATCGCAGTGTGGGTGGCTGAATTCTGATGCAAGTAGCGTAGCTTGTTTCGTGGTACTGCCAAAAACACTAAAGGAACATAAAAGGGCGCACACGACTATTTTCAGCAAAGCGCGGGGTAAGCGCAAGACGTGTACGTCTGATAAGGTGTGTTCAGCGCTAGTAGGTTAATGGAAGATATGATCAGAGAAAGAGGAGGTTCAAATCTAAATATGGCTTACAAAAAATAAAGCAGAGCGGGGAAAAGAGTTGAGAATTTGGGGGGCACAGAGTAGATCAATTCAATAATTACCAGGATCCCAATGTGCACTTAGTGTGCAGGATGGAAAGTTTGCCCTTGCAGGAAACCGATTGTGGTGTGACACCCCTCCCTTGCCTCAAAGATTATGACATCGAGAGAAAAGGAAGGAGGTGGTGCTGTTGAAATCTCTTATACAGACAGGTGTGGGCAGGAGACGCTCCAAAGCTGGGAGTATATAAAAAATGGTTTATTCTCAGTTTCAGAAACAAATGTTACAGAATGGGGCAATGAACAGCATGATTAAGGGGGTATAAAGCATGGATCTGTACAGGGAAATATACTGGGCAATTTCAGAATTCGGTCATTTTTTTGTGTGTGTCTGCCTTCTTCTGCTCCCTCTGCAAACTTCGCTCTTCCTTCTGCAGAACTACAAGTTGAGATCGAGCATCTGAGAGGCGTTTTTCCAGCTGCACGCTGATCACACTATCCCTAAAAAAAAAAAAAAAAAAAATGAAAAATCCTGGATGCATTACATGGTCTCTGTGCAAATTGTATTGAAATAGCACAAAGCAACAATGTTTTTCCTCGTTCTACGACGGGTATACTCACCCTTCCTATGCTCCATCACTGCTGTCCAAGTCATCCAACGACCAAGTCCTGCAACCTCTGGTGAAGAGATTCAACCCATTGAGGGGGATTTATCAAAACTGGAGCAGACAAAATCTGGAGCAGATTTGCATGGCAACCAATCAGCTTCTATGTCTCATTTTCAAATCCCAACTGAGCAAACTGAAGAGAGATGCTGATTGGTTGCCTTAGGCAATTGCTCCAGTTTTGATAAATTCCCCCCATTAAATTTCTTTATCAGACTAGAAGGGGTAGCGCTAGGAGCCAATCAAAGTTCACAAGTGAAAATGGAAGGGAGGGCTTGGGAGCCACACCATCGACATGCTGCTGCTCTGTCATTAACCAATGACAAACTGGGTTGGTTCCTGGACCAAGATGCATTGCTTAATTGCAGAAGTGAACAGAGGGGTTAAGGAACTGGCTGTGCTGTCTAGCCAGGGGTGTCTATATCACAAACCTAACTGAACACAAATACAAATCGCTCTACGGGTAGCACAGCTGACATATTTCAACTGTGTATTTAGTTGTCTGCTTTAAAATGGAAGCTGTTCCCTATTAAGACAGGGCATTCCATTTCCATAGGCTGAAGTCTTTCAAACTATGTGCCATGATGGAAGTTCTGCTTTTATTCTAATAACACAATCAGTCCAATGGCAAGGCTGGCATGCCTTCAGGCCTGCTATAGATAATATTCCCAGTGCAGTAAATCCAAGGGCATTGCAAGTGATGACATATTTTGATGCAATGGATTGCCTGTAATTAGAATGAAGGCTTTGTACAGACTTCTAGGAGGTGCTCTGAAAATCTAAGCATTTTAAATACGATTAAAATACATATCAACATGTTCTTTAAAAAATTCAGGTAAAAGTGTGCGATTAGTGGAAATAGTAAGTCAATCAGCATTCCACACCCTGTGCTTACCTCCCCACATTCCGCGCCAGCGCTTCTGTGATCTGCCCGATCTCCCTCTGCTTCTGCAGGACCCTCTCCGTAGTCTTGGCCACTTCAATATTCAGTGCCCTCTTGCTACTTTGGCTGGCGTTATATACTTCCTTGCCTTTCCTTTCTAGATTGGTTCTTGTGTCTGTGGGTTGCACCTTGTCACTTTTGCCCTCCAGCTTATCATTCAGAAAGTCGAACACATTGCGACGGGGGTTTTTCCCATGACCCGCCGCTGCCAGCTTGGGCGCTCGCTTTTTCCTGGTTTTGGGTTGGACCCCTCCTCCTTTTGGCTTCCTTTGTTTCATCTCTAAGCACTGGTCTAATGATTTCCCTTTCGGCAAGACCACAGCTAGAACGGGCTCAATTCGCCCCTCCAAGTTCCTTCCAAGTCCTGAAAAATGAAAGAGTACAAAAATGGCCGAACTGCAATGCACAATTGTTTTTTTGAACAATTGAACATTTTTCACACAGCTGCTAGTGTCGCCAGCTGCTCATTTTGCATCATCAGGATTGCAAAAGTCTAACAACCGTACAGAGAAAAGTTCAATATGATAGAACGTCACTTACCTTTCCCAAGCTCATATCCCATACGAGCCATAAGCTTTGATCCAATCCCACGTGTGTGAGCCTCCCAACCAGCAAATTCAGAACTGCAGGGACCAGTTGTACCCACTTCGCTGTCCAGCAATACTGTATAAACAAAGCATGGAGTTATATGAACAGTAAGTAATCCTGGATCAAAGGGGAAGTTGGATTGCTTGCCGGCTTCTTTATACTCTGGAGGGATTGTGTACGGGGTCATGCCAATTCTGGGATGGTTCACCTTGACAAACTATATCCAAGTCAACCCTGTGCAATAGATTTTTAACATCTGATCAGATCTGCCCCCTAAGCTGAGCACCTACTATGACACTCACAAATCAATTTTTTATGAGATAGACTATTCAACTATTTTAATAAATTGGATGTCTTAGTTACATAGTATGCGAGGTTGAATAAAGACATATGTCCATCAAGTCCAACCTATTGTGTGTGTGTGTGTGTGTGTGTGTGTGTGTATATACAGGTGAAACTCGAATAATTAGAATATCGTGCAAAAGTAATTGCAGTAAGTGCTGCAAAAGGGGCCCAAACCAAGTACTGAGTACATATGCATGCTTGTACTTTTCAGAGGTCCGATATTGTTCTATGTACAATCCTTGTTTTATTGATTGCATGTAATAATCTACTTTTTTGAGGTTGTGGATTTGGGGTTCTTGGGGTTTTCATGAGCTGTAAGCCATAATCATCACAATGATGACAAATCACGGCTTGAACTATCTTGCTTTGCATGTAATGAGTCTCTCTCATATATTAGTTTCACCTTTTAAGTTGCATTAGTGAAATAAATGAACGGTACCCCCGTATATTACGGTCTCTCAGGTAATCTTCCAAAAGCTTCTTGAATGATTCCACACTATTTGCTGAAATCACTGCTTGTGGCAGCGAGTTCCAGACCCTAACCGCGCGAACTGAGAAGAACCCCCTTCGCCCCTTGTGTTTGAATTTTTTTTCTACCCGTTTTAGGTGATGGCCTCTAGTCTTTGTTACGGAATTAATCTTAAAGAGTTTGTTGCTAATGTTGCTTTGGCTATTGAACATCTTGTACATGAAAATCATATCCCCCCTTAATCTCCTTACTTCCAGTGTGAACATATTTAAATTTAGTAGCCTTCTCTCATAGCTCTGGTCCTCCATCCCTTTGATGAGTTTGGTTGCCCTCCGCTGGACTCCCTCCAGCTGAAGGACATCCCTTCTGTGCACCGGTGCCCAAAACTGCACCGCATACTCTAGGTGAGGCCGAACCAGTGATGTGTAAAGTGGTAAAATTATAGACATATCCCTGCAAAACATTCCCTTCTTGATGCAGGACAAGATTCTACTAGCTTTGCTTACAGCAACCTGGCACTCTAATCTATTATTCACTCTATTATTAACACTTAGTAGTGTTGACTTATTGCAATCAGAGTTTCTGGTCATCCTGGCCAGCACTGAAATTAACCCTGCATGCCCAATGCAATATTTCTTTAAGCTGCACAAATCCTAGAATGTCTCCTTGTAGTTATGCAAACCCACCACAGTTTAAAGATGTTTGCATTGGTTACAGAGTAATTATGTGCAGAAGTGCTAACCATTAAAAGGAGAACTATGAGGTGAGTGATTTTCACTCATCCTCATAGTTCGAGCCGATGTGTGACAATGAAACTGTCACACGTTGGCTCAATAGATCGAGAAGTGAGCAAACACATACCGTCACTAGCTCACTTCTCAATCATCTCCCTGCAGAGAGCCGTGAATGTCACTCACGGCTCCCTGCAGGGATTCCCCCCCATCCCGCTCCGATCCTCCAGCGCTGACTGGCGGAATGCACTAGGGAGGGGGAGGGTACATCTGGCTCTGCCTCTAGATAGGCAGAGCCAGCTGTCACTCACGCAGCTGGGTGGATCTCGACAGTAATGTCGGGATCCGTCCCGGGTGTGGCGTTCTCAGTATACCGCGAGCTGTAGCTCGTGATATACTGAGCTTTGGGTCACGGGAGGACGCTATTATATGTCCTCCCGTGACCCTTAGGAGAACTATGGGGAAAAAACACTTACACCATAGTTCTCCTTTAAGTCATAATATAAAATATTTTGATGGTCGTTAATATTGGTACGACAACTCTTTTTTTTTTTTTACTGACCACCTCTTTCAGCACTTGCTTTCCCTGTCAGTGGAAAGGCTCAGCATTTAGGCCATGCAGCCCAAAAATCACTCAATTCTCTAAACGTGGATGGAGGAATCTCCCCTGCCAGTTATTGTATTCTGACAGCGGATACCTACTTGCTGAGCCCTGACTTAGCCTTCAAACCAGGCATAACTATACCACTAACCTTGGGCAAACCCAGAATCCTCTGCTCCGTCCTCACTATCCTCATCAGACAAAGAGTCCTCACTTTCCCGTAGCGGTGGGATGATGGCATCTGCTTCAAGCACAGCTTCCTTTAGCAGCAGAGAATCAAATTTTACAGTGTAGAATGAGTTGTCAATGTCTACAAAATGGAGGCAGAAAGGAGTCAGCAAAAGTATACAAACAAACAAAGGATAATGGGAAAACAAATAAAGTGTTTTTAAACCCAAAAACTAAAAATATTTTTGCAACTTACCAGTGCTTAAATGTGGTGGCTGTATTAGGTATATTGTTTTAGGTTAAGTACAGAAAAAGACCTGTTGATCCTGCTAGAAATCCTGCGTGCTTGTAACTTCCTGTGCACTGAACTGAAATGTCAAACTATGTTGTCAGCTTACCCGCTGAACTAGAAAACATTTCCCCTCTATGCACTGGAGGTAAAGAAAGAGTGGGATGTTTGTTGTCTAAATCAGGAGAGCAGCCTAGGGTGACAACGTTGCTCCTCCACAGATACAGTAGGGTTAGTAAGTGTCACCCTAGGACAGGAAGTGTGTTACTGGTAGATGAATATAAATCAGGGAAAGAAATCCTGAAAAGAAAACTGTACTTCCTATATGCATCACAAAGCTTCATTTTAAATGTTGTGTGTGGTGTACCTGTAAGTGGGGAAAATACACTAGGTGGCTGCTGGGGCAAAAGAAAAAAAGATGCAGTGGGCTGCCTGTGGGCATAGATCTACACAGCGGGCCCTAGGAGTACAGAACCAGGCAGAGGCCACCAACAGGCCATGAAGCTACAGTCTAGTCCCTAAGCACAATCCCATGCAGCTGTCTCTAAACAGATGAAGCTGTGCTGCAGGTCCATAGTGGTCATAGGAATGTGGTGGTCCTGTATAGTTAAAGCTACACATGTGCCTTTGCGCCCCAAAAGGACATTAAACTAACTGTGCAGTTATGCTTTAGGGTTTGAGGTTTACACACCACGAGAATATTTTCTCCCAAATGGAGTGGTTTTAAAAGCAAATCCCTATTTGTTCTCTGCTATCCAAAACTGGCAATATATATGGGGGTGACTAAATCTGGAGGCTCAGACTTTACCTATAATCCGTCCAGGGTACCACATGCCGTCACTGTGCCGGGCCAAGCAGGCTTTGTCAAGGCCGAGAGAGACGAGGTCTGGCTCCTCAAAGACCCGGAGCTCGCTTACTTGCACCACTTGTCCGTGTGAGAATCTGAGAAGGCAAAAAAAAAAGGCTGTTAAAGGGACAATAACTATGCACAGTACTCAATATCTAAAAGGGAGAGAGTGATCATTACAGACAAGGCATAGTCATAGTGATTAATAAAAAGAGCTAAGGGAAGTGTTTTCCAAACAAATCAACCGCAGCAACATAGCAGTATTAAGTGCAGGTTCAGGGCCAATCAGAAGCAGAAACAAAGCTAATGTAGGGATTTAGTTAGATGCCCAATGAGCTGCACAGCACGAGTGTAGGGATGATCATTATTAGACACATTCATCAGGCAACCTGTGTTCCCCGAGTGCATTCTGAACTCCAGAGAAACTACTAAATACACAAATCAAATCGCCTTTAACCCCTCTATAAGACTCAGCCCATTGATGCTGGCAGGAGCCAAGAAACATGCGACTACTAAAAGCAAGGCTCAATGGTGACCCGGTTGTTGGGATCTCCAGCTGTGAAGTACATTGCTTACCTGCAGCTTTCATTAAAGAGACACTTTCCATCTAGAAAGTAGGGGCATGGTTTCATGGCCTTGTGCGTGGGGTACAGATAGAGAACCCGAACCCCGGGGCTTCCATCCTCCATTTGTTCTGAGCCCACAATCATGGCGTTATGATACTCCAATGTCCCCCATGTGCTATAGTAAGGGGCTCTGACCTTCATCCCGCTAGTCTCATTCTCCTCTTCGTATTCTTCCACAACCTCTTCCTCACTGGAGTCTACTGAACTACTGGATTTACTATCCACGGTCCCTGTGGCCTCACAACCATTACTCAGTTCTCCTATGGCCCTCCTGAAAGACTCATACTCATCCTCCTGCTGTGAGGAGGAGGAAGGACCATCGAGGGAGGACAGTAAGTTTGACTTCTGTACCGATAGCAAGCTAGACTCGGTTAGTTCTATCAGCTGCTGCAAGTCCTCCTGAAGCTGGAGGAGATCGGCTTTCTGCGAGGGGTCCACATCGGCGTTCAGGGTCTGTCTGACCTGCTCCAGCTGAGCTTTGTAGGTCTGTACAGCGGCTGCCAGACTCTCTTCATCCATTGTGTGCAGTAGAACACCTCCAACCAGAAAGGGTCTTTTCTTAGAGCTTGTTTTCTGTGAAATGAAACAGCAACATCCAAATGTCACCAATCCTATACTGTGTGTATAAAAAAAAAAAAGGAGGAAGGTCAGAATTGAGAAAAAAAAATCAGACCCCCCCATATAAAAAGGTTTTCGACTATTACATTCTGTACTTAACACACTGACACTTTGGAGCTTAATAAACAATGATTCCCTGAAATGTGAAGACCCAGATAACTGATGCTTGGAAATACTAGAAAACTGGCACATGCACACTCAAAAACATGACACACTGACACTTGGGGTCTCAGAACAATGACACACTGACACTCGGGGTCCCAGAACAAAGACACACTGACACTTAAGGATCCCAGAACAATGACACACTGACACTTGGGGGTCACAGAATAATGACACACTGACACTTGGGGGTCACAGAACAATGACACACTGACACTTGGGGGTCTCAGAACAAGGACACACTGTAACTCAGGGTCCAGAACAATGGCACACTTACACTCCGGTTCCCAGAACAATGGCACCCTGACACTTGGGGGTCTCAGAACAATGGTACCCTGACACTTGGGGGTCCCAGAACAAAGACACACTGACACTCAGGGTCCCAGAACAAAGACACACTGACACATGGGGTCCCAGAACAAAGACACACTGACACATGGGGTCCCAGAACAAAGACACACTGACACTCAGGGTCCCAGAACAAAGACACACTGACACTTGGGGTCCCAGAACAAAGACACACTGACACATGGGGTCCCAGAACAAAGACACACTGACACATGGGGTCCCAGAACAAAGACACACTGACACTCGGGGGTCCCAGAACAAAGACACGCTGACACTTGAGGATCCCAGAACAATGACACACTGACACCTGGGGTTCCAGAACAATAACACACTGACACTTGGGGGTCCCAGAACAATAACACACTGACACTTGGGGGTCCCAGAACAATAACACACTGACACTAGGTGACTAATATCTTTAAAAGTCTGGAACCCATCAGTTAATGAGACCCCATAGAAGGGAATAGGGACACGATCTAATAGGGCACCCTGTGACTTGTACTTCCTCAGCACCAGATGACCCACAAGCCTTCCCATCCTGTCCAGAACACCAGTCATGTCATTCTTCTTACCTCTCCTACTCTCACATAGACGCCATGACACCGGCTCCGTGACGTTACTCCACGGAGCTCTCAGACTACACATGCCGCCATTTTCTTGTAGCCCTTCCTTTGTATCTCTCTGACTTTGGTCAATTTTAGTATAAAGTCATTCATATCTAAGAGGACAGAACACGGAAACAAACGAGCAATTCAGTTATGTCGGATAGTTCTTGAAACAAATCGAATACCCTTTTCCGACGCTGCGGAGGGACTTGCCACACACAAGATGGCCGCCTGATTGGACCACACTGGGCGCTTTCCCAGAGTGCAGCGCGGGTTGGGGCGGAAGTGTGTGTCGGCTAGGGCCCGATCAATGCTGATGGGGATCTGCGGAGAAGGTAGGTGAAGTGGCAGAAGGTGAGATGAAGCAGTTGGGGTGATAACTATTTACAGCCCTATCTTATCAGAGGCTCTACTTCCTGTTGGCAGGAAGATTCCAGCTGTTCCTTTTCCTGATTAGAAGTGTTGACAAGATGTTGGATTAGATCAGTACAACAGGTCACATTAGCTGGTGCTGCCTAAGGGCCCTTGCTGGACACTGAGCCCACCCAGGGGCCACTATAACCATTTTAGCTGTCCAGTTGCAGGTAGCCATACTCCTAGCACTCCAGGGGCACATCAACTGCCCAGCAGTGGGGCTTATTGTCATTATAGAGGAGGGCATTTAAAGGCAATATTGGTGGTTGTCTTTGCTTAACTGCTAAGAGGACACACTGACACTCAAGTGCTTTGGAACCAACTGCTGAGGAGTTGGTTCCAAAGCATTATGTGCTGCTGACCTGGAACAAGTAAACAGATGAGGAATTATGACACTGATTATGCAGCATTGTTGTTCTGGGTCTGTAATAGAAAAGTACTGGAGTCAGACAGCCAAGCAATTAACATTTGCTTCCAGACAACAATGGCAGCCTTGACACTGTCACTTTAACTGTGCTACGGGTCTCTTTTCTCCAAAAGACTTTAAATGTCCCGTGGGACTTTTGTCTGCAGGAGACTCTAAAATGGCCCTTTACTCTCTCTGGGGCTATAGAGGGGCTGGTGGGGTGGGTTTCTTGTCTCCAGGAGGCCATGGAGAGGTTATTTGCTGATGGCATATGTCTTTTGTTTCCATGGAACTCTAGGGTGGATTATTACCCTATCTGTGGCCATGGAGGGGTTATTTGCTGATGGATGATGATGTAGGTTTTTAGAAGACTCTAGGATCGACCTTTACCCTCACTGAGGCCATGAAGGGTTTTGTACAAGAGTTATGAGTCTCTTCTCTCCAAGAGTTTTTTAGTGTGGATCTTTACTCTTTTTGGGGCCACGGAGGGTGGTGATGTGGGTCTTTTCTTTCCAGGACACTTTAGGAGGGTCTGGGGCTAGGACGTGGATCTCGCCTCACGTACAAGCCATACAATTGTTGTTTGCCCTCTTAGTGCATAGATCCGTGTCACCGAAGGCCACCTGGTCGAGATTCAGAGAGCCTCAGGAAGGGAGTAAAGCCAGTAACTGGGTGATAAGGCAAGCCAGGACTTCTATTTCCTTGGCACCCAAAGAGCAGCAACCTTTCATATACCAACCAGAATACCAGGAACTCCATTTTATGTATGCCTATCTTTACAGTGCACCATCTTGAGTATGCAGTATTGATTTATGCCTGCTTAGCTCTTTGCCAACCCAGGACCCCATTTTTGTGCCTGGAGACAAGCAAGTGTCACTTTTTCCCACCCGAGACTAGTTTAGTGGCTCCTTTCTCATCACATATAGGTGTCTTAATGACAAAACATTTAAGAGTTTGGTGACCTTTTAGCCATTTTGCTAATTACAGCTTATGTACCAACTTAGTTTCTTGTATCTTTCTCCCCTACAGGTCTCCATCATGTATACCCTGCTATCTGGCCTGTATAAGTACATGTTTCAGAAGGACGAATATTGTATCTTGATCCTGGGCCTGGACAATGCCGGCAAGACAGTAAGTAGTGTGGATGTAGCTCTTATGACTTTAGGAGCTGACGGGTCCCAACTAAACCAGTTTAGAACAGAAAACATGCACTATACGACCTCTATACAGGACTTGCACCACCACCAAACTATTCGTACAAGATAACATAAACTACTGCCCCGATAACCCATTCTGGCTGAGCCTGAGGTTTTCTATGTACCTGATACTGACCAACTTTATGTGTGGTTTATGAAAGGATCATTATACTATCCGGGCACCAAACATTGTCATCCGAAGGGCAGTCTTCACATTCCTGTTCTGATATGTTGCCTCTAATGGAGTTACACAGTTTATTACAAGAACAAATTACAGGCAGTTTATATAATCTCTTTCCATTGGCCACTTGCTGAAACATTGCTCTGTAGCAGAGCTCCTGGCACCCTTCCTCTTCCGTACGTCCAGGTGTTTGGAATAGCGTGTCCCCCGCTGGCTGCTGTTCTTCCTCCTACCGACCCTTCGTTGCTATTGTGTCCTGCAGTGACTAGGGGTCAGTCGCAGGAACCACAGCAGCCAGCCCAAGGGTCAAATATGATCGTTGCTGGGAGCTCTGCTATATAGTGAAGTTTCAGCAAATGGACCACTGGTAAGTGTAATGCTGCTTTCTTACCTGAGTACTGCCCTTTGTGATTTGTAAAACCCTAACAGGGTCACTTTAAAGCACATCATCAGACAAGTTTCCTTAAAATCCTAGTGACAACCGCTCACCTTATTTCCAGTCCTGCTGCCACAGGGAAGCGAAATCAACTCACTAGGGTCTCAAATGGCAATAAAAACCCAACCGCCCATCCAAAGCTAAAAAAAAGAAATAAAAATATAGGTCTCAGTTCTATTCATTTTCAGATTTATGTGGAAGCTGGACACCACTATCAAAGGTGTCTTGCAAGTGTGATCCTACTGCAGTCCACAGATGCTACCCCAGCCTGCCAGCAATGTGTGTCAGCTTGGTACTGCAGGGCTGTGCCAGTAGGTGATGTTTTCTCATTGACATTTTCTTTTCAGACTTTTCTGGAACAAACCAAAATCCGATTCAGCAAGAACTACAAAGGCATGAACTTTGCCAAGATCACCACCACCGTTGGCCTGAACAGTGAGTATTTTTCGATTGCCACTATTTAGGATGAAGTGACAGGGTCTCTGGAAAGACCTCATCCCCACTGATACTCGCCTTACCTGCACTCTGTCATATGCTTTGAGATATGGGGGAGCATGCCACTCCCTGTTCTTGCAAGATGCTGAGCTTGAGCACTGTCGTAAGAGCCAGGGGAGAAATTCAGCTTTTAAGCAACTTCAAGAACATGTGATGCATGCTGATATGATCTCCAGATACGGACTGAGTACCAAACTCGCCAACCTCGACACTCCGGATGTTATGGAACTGCAAGTCCCATGAGGCAGTGCAACACTGACAGCCACAGGCATTACTCCCAGAGGCATATTGGGGTTTGTATTTTCCCTACAGCCGGAGTGCTGAGGTTGCATACCTCTGTACTAGATCTATCGGTGAACACTCTGCAGAAAGCAAATGAACACTATAAAGGGATTGTATTGTGGCTTTGTATAGAATATATTTTCAACCAGTGGTTGGGAGCTATAGGTTCCTTTTCATAGATTTCTACTTTGCAGGAAAGGAAAAAAAAAAAAAGCCTGTTACAGAGCTCAGTAGCTCAAGCTAAAATTAACCCATGTAACTTAGCAAAATAGTGACTCCAAGCTATCATTGGAGAAAGAGCTCATGCACACGGGTGGTTGACCCCGTACAACCTAAATTCTGCCAGTACAGTAGTAAGTACAGCCTTTCACATTTATGGGAGGCTGTATATAGCACCTGTGGCTCCCTGGCAGGCAAAATACATTGGAATTTATGTTGTATGGGTTCAACCAGCTATGTGCACGAGCCCAAAGTCTGAAAGGAAACAGCTTTGGCTGTGCTTTCTTTAGAGATAATACATAATGCCTGTGAATCCTGTGTTATGGGTCCTCCCTGTATTCAATGTTAACTTAAAAAATAAATAATTGACATAAATGGTAACAAAATGTAAAGAGAAAGTAGAATTTGATAAAATGCTGAATGGAGTTATTATAGTGTAGCTTTTAAACTACAGTCAAGACTCTCGTGTGTGTAGTCATTGCTCTTTGTCCCTATTTGGTAGCTTTTTCCTGTCAGGACAATTCTCCAAAGGGGACACAAACAAAAACACATTTGAATAGAGTGGGGAAGGTTATAATGTAGGCAAGGGAAGGCTAACCGAAGCATTGATAGAGATTTAATTTATCCGACTCATTGTGGCTGCTGGAGTTCGGCCTGCTATAAAATAAATATTTGACTACCATACGGAATGCGGATGCTTTTCATACACTGCCATGACTTCAGGCTAACGTATTGTTCTCTCTGTTCTAGTCGGGACAATTGATGTGGGAAAAGCCAGGCTTATGTTCTGGGATCTTGGCGGGCAGGAGGAGCTGCAGTCTCTTTGGGATAAGGTGAGTTCTCATTTCACTTTAGAACTTCATATATATTCCATTGTAAGCCAACAGGCATTTATCCAGGTTACAGCAGGAAAACCTGTTCTTGTTGCACATCGGCGGTACAGGAGCGTTGGAGTCCAACACTTGGCAAAACTTTTGGTTTGCAGGTGGCTGTTGACCCTGTGCAATGTCCTATGTTGGGTACCAGTGGACTCTCTACGTACATCAGCATCCAATCCCTGCATTTATTCTTCCTTTCTGTGGAACATAAGCTAAAACAGATCAAGGGAGTCACCATGCAGGCCACAATTTTTTTTACTTATTATTGCGTATGCATGCAAAGACGTGTACATTAGCCAACTTGCATTGTGGAAAAGAGCAGTGCAACTAGAATTGTGGAAAGGAGCAGTGCAACAAGTTTGTGGATACCTGGCCATCACACCTACCTATATGGCCAAGAGTCTGGTGGTACCCATCCAAATGATTAAGTTTGGGTGTTCTTAGTCAAGGGTACTGTTAAACCCAACTCTGGGCTGCAGTTAAATTTACCAATGCGCTAGGGTCCTCCAAACCTCACACTACATGGGTTTATATGCTTGTTAGGCTAGCGGAGGGGGATGGAATAAATACAAATACTTACCTCCCCAGCAGCTGGCACTCTCCTTAACTCCTGGGATATGGGTGACTCCTTGCTCTCTTATACAATGCATTCACTTTAAACAAAAAATAACCCTCTGAGAAAAATACGTGCATAGCTAGGTTTGTACTCTCAGCCATAGTAAATCCACTGAGCCATGGCGGGCTAAATTCACATTCCAGTCTTTGAAGGGCTCAGAATGGGTGTGGGTGGTGTTCCTTTATGTAGCTTTCTGTCCTGACCATAGTCTGCACTCTCAGTATTATGCAGAATCCCACGGAGTGATCTACGTCATCGATTCCACGGACGAGGCGCGACTGTCTGAGTCAAAACAAGCTTTCGGTAAGCTAACAGAATATGTGACGTCCAAATTTTTGATTTTATGGGATACCTGCACTGCTGTTTTTGACCCTCTTCTGATTTGCTGCCTGGGTGCCCATGGGGGGGTCCTTCAGCTTCACTGATTTAGGGATTGGCTAATCGGGATAAATAAGCAGGCGGTAAAAGTAAGAACTCCCAACCTGCGTATGTATGGCGGAGGATGCACAAATTAGTACAGCCAGGCAAGGAAATTTTGGGAAGGGGGTCAGATATTTCAGTGGGTCACTATGCACAATCTGACTACACAATCTCTTTCCAGTCGACTCCAGATTTACCAAAGCAATGAAATATGAGGACCTACTTAATGTAACCCATCCAAATCAGGCCGGCCCTTGCAATACATAGTTGCTGGTAGATCTAAAGTAGATTGTACAATCAGATTGTAGTTTGTGTGTGTGTGTGTGTGAGCTTATGACAGGATTCATTAGACATGACTAATACCATACAGCTAGCCCTGTACTACCCTTTCCCTGCAGTGCAGTTTAGGCTGTAGTGTACATGGCCCTGAGGCCCTGATAATCTATCAGCCAGCACGAGCAGGAGCAAAAGATCTGTTGCATTGAAGCTGAACTCCAATCAAACAGCTACATTGACACATACTTGGGAGTTGCTTTACCTGCCAAAGGATTTATTATTTGGCCCAGCCATTCCTGAGGTATACACAGACTCGCTGGGCAGCAGAGCCAGGTTAGTCACCTGACATCTCTACTGCAGTTAAACAATCCAGCTTGGTCACCTCTCTGCCCCCAGCCTGTGACTGGACAGTGAAGGATTAGCGGAATACTAATGAGTCCTCTCTTGGCATTCTCCTCCTGTTAGCATGCACCTCATGAGGCATCTCTGATTGGCTCCTTGTGGCTGCCCCTTCTCCCTAACTCCTAAATGCTGCTGTATAGGGAGTTAATGAGCAGCTAATACCAAGTCACATTCAGTTTCTTACACTAATTGCATTTAAATATACATTTCAAGTAGGGTTGAAATAACTAATCGATGATCGTTAATGAGAATCGTTGCCAACTATTCTCGTTACCGATTAGTTGATTCCGCCGCCACTCTGCTCCCCTATATGAATGGGATAATGTAGTGATCTAAAAGTACTCTGCCTTAGGTTATTATATTTACAAAGGCTTTCTTATGAAAGATTTACATACACGCTGCTCTTATACAAGCTGAGGCCCATGTGAAATGTTTTTCTGGTAGTTGTATGCGGCCTGTTATAACACAGACATGTTTCTCCACTTTTTTTTTCACCTTTTAACATTCCTACTTTTGTCACAGAGAAAATAATCAGCAGTGACGTCTTGGAAGGAGTCCCCATCTTGGTGCTGGCGAACAAGCAGGATGTGGAGGTAAATGGGGAAAGGGGCCTTTAGAGAAGAACAACTCCAGGCAGAATAAAACCTAACCCTTGCAGTGGGGCCACCCCCTGCACTGCATGGGTTAAGGGTTCATTTTGGTAAAGGGTAGGGATGCACCGATACCACTTTTTTAAGGCCGAGTACGAGTACCGATACTTTATTCCAAGTACTCGCCGATACCAATTACCGATACTTTTTCTTAAAGGGACAGGTCACATTTTTTCTAAAGCAATAAAAAATCATGATTTTAGGTCAGTTTCTTAATATTATGAAGAACATGAACAACGCCGGCCGCGAGCCGGGCTGTGTGCGGCGGAACCGGGTCCCTGAAGATGGCGGACGCGGCACAGGTACTCGTTTTATGTTTTGGAGTATTTGCACGAGTACTCATGCAAATACTCGGTATCGCGGCCGATACCGATGCTTGTATCGGTATCGGTGCATCCCTAGTAAAGGGTTTCAAATCATAAGGATATACTCACCCACCTGGCTGCTAGACCGGTCCCTGCAGACTGTCTCACCCTCCAACTCCGGGGGTGGAATGTCCTTCGGCATCCTCCATGCCTAATACACTGTAGAAGATGTGATGACTCACGGGTCTATATAGCCGGAGCCATATATAGCTGTCTGCGAGAGTGGCATTCTGACCACCCCTGTAAAAGTGAGACATTCTTCCCACTGGCGACCGAGGTAAGGGGGCATTCTTCCCACTTGCCATTCTGGGGTAAAATGGTTGAGAAAAGCTGTTTTAGACTCTTGTAAACTATATTTTGTATGGGAGGATTAGTTGCAGTGGCATGACTCAGCCTCCAGAGGGAGACAGAGACTGTTACATGGTGTGCAAACACGGCTTACTTTATAGCAAAGCACACACAATGCACTTGTAAGAAATAGAAATCGTCTTTCATAGCTCTGCCAATACTGAACTGCTGAATGTTGATGGGCAATTTGAAAGGTCGGTCCATTACAAATATTTCCCTTTTTGGTAGATGTCGGACACTGCAACTGCTTAACGGCTAAGTTTACTTTTCTGACTTTGTTTCATATGTCTCCACTGTAATATAGTTGTATTACCTGTTGATCCTGCCAGTAGATTTGGTATTTTTCCCGCTTCCTGTAATAGGGTGACAACGCTGCAGTAAAAAACACCGCAGCATTGCCACCTTGTGTAGAGGGAGGGTTTAGTGGGACTTGTAGTTTTAACCACCTTCCATCCGGCAGCTGTCTACGAACGGCCGGACGGGGGCTTCCTAGATGCGGGCGGGTGTATGAAAACATCCTTATGCCCGCGCCCACATATGTGTGCCGCCTCCCATGGCACGAGCGCAGATGAGGGAGTAAGGACAGAGCTGAACAGGTCCTATCGTCTGGACATGGCTGCTGGAAAATTGTAACATCCGGCGTGTTGGTGGGACAGGGGGTCAATGTGAAGCAGTGGACAGATCGGGACCAAGGGGCTGTGTTTGCCGGAGGGCTGGTGGTGAGGGTAAAGGGGTGGTTAGGCAGTAGTCAGGAGTCTGTGTAGATTGTGTGCCTCTGATCTTTGCTGCGGTAGTTTTGAAAGCGGCCAAGGAAGGACGTGCACGGGACAGTGTTAGATTTAGAAATGGTCAGTAGTGGAGGAGCAACGCGTTTTGAGGAGGTCCTCCTTTCTAAAGACACAGGGAATCACACTGGCCCCAGAAGGTGCCTTGGCGCGGCGGTGTGGCCTCCACATATTTTTGTCCAAATGTTTGTGTAACTAAAACCTCTCATACTGTTAGACAGGGCTATTTGTTTTGTTGCTGGCAGGTGTGCTGGGGATCTTTTTGTGTTTTGTAGAGGGTTTTTTTCAGACCTGCCACATGTCCCTTTCCCTGCCATGCTGCCTTAGCCGCATTGTGGGGAAGATTAAAAAATAGGATTCTGACATGAAAGGGAGCAATCTTATGGGACCTCTCCAAGCATTCAGAAGATTGCAGGAGTCACCTCTGTCCAGACCTGCCCCACGTGCCTTTCCCTGTCATGCTGCCTTAGCCGCATTGTGTAAAAGATAGGATTCTGATGTGAAACGAGGGCTTCTGTTATGGGGGGGTACTCTGACATGAATTAGAGGAATCTGATAGGAAGGGGGGGTGCTCTAATAGGAAAGGGGGCTTCTGATATAAAAGGGGGGTATAGAGTTTTGTTTTTTTGCATGGAATCCCTCCTTAAAACCAATAGCAGACCCTGTCTAGGACAGAGATTTGGAAATTTGTTATAGATTTTGTTTTTTTACATTTTAGACTGGGGTACCTCGCGATTTTGTCTACTTTTAAAGGGTGCCACAACTACAAAAAAAAAAAAGGATGAGAACTTCTGATTTAGAGAATGCATTAGGAAGAGGAAGGGACCCAGAGACAGGGATCATGCCACAGAGACCTCCACTCTTTGCAGCTAATTAAGCCGACCAGCTTTTGCAATTATCAGAAGCTGGTGTGCAATGGCTGCATACAGCAATTCTTTGGTTGTGTATGTGCTTTGTTTTACCCATACAAAGTGCTCTAAGGGACCTTGGAGACATTGCTACTGCTGATAGATATGCCTTCGCAAGGGTTATTTCTCCTGATTAATGGACTAATATTCTTTTTTGTTTTCCAAGAAAGAGACCTCCACTCTATGATGACACGGAAGCAGTCCACCCGCTAAAGGCAGAGACTGCTCAATAGCTACCGTATTTCAACGTGTGTTTACTTTTGGGTGGAATGCCATTTTAAAGTGGCAAATGGATAAAACACATTTCAAAAGCTAGCACCACGTTGAGGGGCATTTACTTAAACTGAAGCAGACAGAATCTGGAGCAGCTGTGCATGGAAACAAATCAGCTTCCACTTTGAAAGCTTACCTGAACAAGCTAACGACAGAAGCTGATTGGTTACTATTCCAGATTCTGCCGGCTCCAGTTCTAGTCAATTCCCCCATTAGGTACTGTTTTCCCCCACCAAAGAAATCGAGCACCCCACATACCCTGCAGAGTGACATCACGATTTCCCACCTACACCTTACAGCCTCCTGTGCCCCCTGCCCATTCACTGCACTGTGAAAGAGCATCTGCCTATTCTTTGGACAGACAGGAGACGCAGGAAGCTGTATGTAAAGTGCACGTAAAAGCAAATGAGATGATTTAATGTAAGAGCTTACCTCCACTTAAACACACTGCATGCAGTCTTTTTTTTTGTTGTTTTTGCCTTATTTTTCTTATTTTAACTCGGTGATCCTGCCGGCCAGAGTACTTCCTGTCACAAGACGCGCCGACCGCACAGAAGGCTTAGTCTGTAACACTGTGAGAACAATAGGGTAAAACATGGCAGTGCTTTCTCAAACTAAATTTCATCTTGTTGGGGTTTACATCTACTTTTAACACGCTCCATTGTCTCAAACTAAAAAAAAAAACTCATGTTAACTAAAATCCTTGAGAAAACAGAACCTATTATTATAACAAATGCTTTGTCTTTCACCAAATATTTCTTGAACTACATGGTATTGGGGATTTCCACCTAATGGATTACCCCCCTCTGCAATGGTTTTGACCTTTTTTTTTTCTGTGAAGTATTTCCTTTCTTGGCAGACGGTGTTTAGGCTTATCACCCTGCGACACGCGTATTAGGGCCTTGTGCGTCACAGACCGCACTGTTACTATCTTCAGTAAATCATCAATGCTTTAGTAGAACTGTCATCGGGTTTTCTTCTGGGTGATTTCCATGTCAACTAGACAATTGTATAAAAAGTGCCGTGTGATAGAAGTGATTGTGTTCGCCATGGTATTGGGATTTTCCCTTCCCTAGCCACAGATGATCTATACCGTGATCACCAGATGTGCGGCCGGTTCTTTTTGGTTGCAGAGATTTTCATACAAATGATCATTCTCTATATAAATTAACTGTCATGAGGCCTTGTTCACACCAAGCGCAGAGCTGATCAGTTGCAGACTGGATCAAAACTGCGTCCAATGTATTCCAATGGTATTTTTTGCTCCAGTTCACATCGCAGCGTGCGGTTCCAGAGCAGGTGAAAAAAAACTGCAGCAGGCCCTATTTTACCTGCTCTGGATCTGCAAACGCATCAAAAACGTATGCAAATGCCTGGAAAGCACTGAAAGCCCATTTGAAACTTAAAAAAAAAAAGTTTTAGCCAAAAACGCATCTAAAAGACTAGCATGCGTGTGCAGAAACCTGACCGGATCTGCTCTGCATTTGGTGTGAACAAAGGCCTAAGGGAATCGTGTTTCGAAGACAAATGAGGCTGCAAAGTCAGAACGATGGTTCCCAGGTATTGGAGAATGTGCATCACAGGCGTGACTCGCAGAGACATGATTAGATGTGTAGTTTCACCACAGCTGGAGTGGCAAGGTTTCCCACCACTGCTATAGAGTGTTACTTGAGTTACAACTAACAGGGTTATTCACAAAAGGGAGAAGAGTTTGGAGAAGGCAGGAGTAGTGAGCAATCTAGGACAATGTAGCTGATTTGGAAAAATCTCCAATTCCGCTCACTTTCCAGTTCAGCTATGTTGTCCTAGATTGTTCACTTCTCCTGCCTTCTCCAAACTATTCACCCTTTTGTGAATAACCCTGTAAGTCTGCTGACATCACTTCCAAGATGGCGGCACACACCAGCAGTCTCGGGGCTTTTCCTTTTACAGGTAAATCGCATGCAAAAAAAAAAAAAAAGGTGTTAAAGGAGAACTATGGGGTTATGGCTTTTCCCCATAGTTCTCCTTAGGGTAACGGGAAGACACAAACTAGCGTCCTCCGGTCACCCTAAGCTCAGTATACCGCGAGCTACAGCTCGCGGTATACTGAGACGCCGGAGCGGATCCCTACATCGATGTCGAGATCCGCCCAGCTGCGTGAGTGACAGCTGGCTCTGCCTATCTAGAGGCAGTTCCAGCTGTACCCTCCCCCGTCCGCTCCCGGGGGAGAGGGGAATCCAGCCCCTCCCCTGGCACGGCAGAGAGCTGTGACAGGATCGAGAGGTGAGCAAACCCGGTATGTGTTCGCTCACCTCCCGATCTACTGAGCCGACCTGTGACAGTCTCATTGTCGCAGGACGGCTAGAACTATGAGGTGAGTGAAAAGCACTCGCCTCATGCTTCTCCTTTTTAAATGCCCTTAAAATCAAATGGGAAGTTTTTGTTGAAATAAACGGTCTGGTGACAGGGTCTCTTTAAAAGATGCAATGTCACGTTCCCCCTCCAACCAACGGATACTCACTTCTCCGGTAATACCCCACTATTCCTGCTGATGCAAAATACCAGGTGCTTCTGTATATTGTTTTCATGCATCTTTATCTGATTGCCTTCTAGGGTTGCCTCTCGATTCCAGATATCAAAACCGCCTTCAGTGATTGCATCAACAAGATCGGAAAAAGGGACTGTCTCACCCAGGCATGCTCTGCCCTTTCCGGGTAAGAACTGTCCTTGTCGTCCGCTATATACTGATTCTCCTGTTTGTTAAGAATGCTTTCTAAAGCCAACATTTTTTTTTAGTTAGCTTGGGAAAGCTAAAAAGAAAAACCCTTGTAAGCTTTTTTTTTTTTTGGGGTGTTTGTGTCCCATGGGAGAGGTTTTCCTGCAATACCAGTCCTAGGGTCTCAACAGGAAATGAGCCCCTCTTAGACAGTCATCCCTATTGGAAGATTTCCTCTCCTGGCTTTCACATCACTTTCTGGTCCAGAGATGATAGTCACCAGGACAGTTATAAGGTGAATCTCCTCAGCGGAGAGACAGTCAGTGATATAAACCTGACAAAGGTTTGCATTTGGTATGCAGGAAACATGAGATGGGGTCCTGATGTTGAGGATCTGAAACACGAGCCCATTTCCATAAACTTAAACAGAAGCCTTGCATCTATTCAAAAAAATATATATCATCGTACACATCATTTATATGCAATAATGTGCTCGACACAATATTGCAATTTTTTTTTGTATTATATCAGATATAATTTTAGTGCTTAGTAACTCTTTTTTACCTTTTGCATTTTTGTTTATCGGTAGTACACATATCATTGTACACCTACCTTTTAATCCAGCTGTTTTTAGTGCTGATCATGTGATGCCTCTTCTCCACTGGCGTCGGCAGTGTGCAGTCCTTCTACACAGAATGGCACAGTCACAAATCATTCTGTCAGCCCAGGAAGACATGATGATGCACCCCAAGGACTGTGCTCATAAATGCCTGTGTTCAGAAGTGGCTTGCATGGTGCTGAGTGTCATTCAACCCGGAGGAGGACAGACGCTGGACCACGGAGCCTGCCCGGGACACCACCACAGGGGAGGTGACCTGTTGAAGCAAAATCTGCATTTTGTATAGTTAGAGCTGCTAGGCGATGGACATTTAAAGAAATAAAGTAGACGTAAAACCTTGGAATTGAGTTTTGATACCATTCTTAATTTTCAGGAGTCTTTAGTGGCCTGGGTATTGACCTCTCTTGTCTTCTCTCTCCAGGAGGGGCCTAAACGAAGGCGTGGAGTGGATGGTAAAGTGCGTAGTGAGAAATATCCATCGTCCCCCAAGACAGAAGGACATCACATAGGGGAAGACGATGAGAAGGGCACGGAGACTACTCTATGAAGCTGTTACCCCCCCCCCACAACAGACTGGAATGTATATATCCTGTACCTGCCTACTGCCTCCTGTGTATAGATACCGTGTATAGAATTCTATTTATCTTAAATTTCTCTGTAAACTTCTCTGCCTTTATTGGCGACTTTAAAACGTGACAATGGCAACCCTCCAACTTACCTTCTCTCCCATCACCTCTGTAATGCTGCTATCTTGCAGTACTGCCGGCCACCCCCTAGTGGGCGATGCTCCCTAGGCATTGTTTTGTGAAGTTGCAGCTATCATGCATAGGTCATGTAGGTGTTGCCCATGTAGGAATGGCACAGTTTTGACCAATCGGCAACAGTATTAAGGATAGCTGTGGAGGAAGTCACTTTAAGGCATATGAGCCATTATTTAAGACATTGAGCTTGTTTGCGTGGATTTATTAAGAAAAGCAAGGGCTGCTGATGGAAATGCTTGTCTAGTCACTGACCTGGGCAATAAATTGGCAAAGCCTGATTTACCAACTTTTTTTTTTCTTTTCCAGGTCAGTGACTCGAAGAGTATAAGAGTATTCCCCCATCAGCAGCCCTGGGCATTGCCACTTGGGGTAGGAACATGGCTATGCTAACAGCACCTATAAGCATACTTCATTTGGCATGCCACTGAGGGAACTGATCCTAGAACAAGTACCTACTGACAGCTAATGCAGCCAATTGCTAACAAGGCTCCTTCATTTATTGGGTGACAGGTTCACGTTAAAAAGAATCCGTCACAAAGGAAAAATACTTTTGCGGGAAGCCTCAAATGGGAACCGGCAACATATACTGGGGCAGCAATGTTCTTAACAGGAAAGATAAATAGATTTAGCTCCATAGCCTCAGCTGCATCTTCCATCAAAGGCTTGTCGCACGAGTGGGACAGGTTCTCTTGAAGTGATTTTGCTCTTATGAGGACCGATTGGGCATGTAAGAGAATGCTTTGCATCTCGATGGGGTAGAGATTTAGCAGCACGCGTATGAGTTCAACCCACTAAATGTTCATATTTATTACTTAAGTGTCTTAAATAATTGAAGTAAGGGAAGCACTCTCTCACCTGTTTAAGAGTTGCCTAGAGCCATCCCTGGTTTCCCACAATGCAATTGGAAAAGGAAAGGAAGACACTTGTTGTCTTGGGGCAGCAGTGCAAGCTCTCACCAAGGTTTTCCTTTTATCGGCTCAAAAATGACACGGATCACTCCTCCCGCGTGTGCGCTCTGTACACACTGCCGGTGGTGAGTGTCTGTTATAGCGGAAGGTTATTTTTGTAGGTGTCCAGAGGATCTCCACACCAGAAATGATATTTTTATGGTGACTCTCCTACCAAAAAATAAATAAGAGAATAAAGACACCTGAATCCTCGTTTTGTTGTAAATGTTGCTATGTGAGAAACACACATTTGCTGCTTTACAGGTAGCAGGCAAAGCAATTGGTGAGCTACTAATGCCGTCCAGGAAACGCTGTGCTGTCCTGAGCTATAAATGTCCACTTGGGGAGTTCTTCCTCACCAAGGCACCTCAGAGAGTCATTGGGAGTGTGCTTCCTGAAGCTTCTGCTTTGCAACTCCCTCTCTATCTGCTTTGCAAGGCAGGTCTGAATCAAGCTGGCAGCTGTCAGAATGATCTTAGTGCTTTCATTGACTTTATCTTCTCTTCTGCCGCTCTGATAAAGATTGTAGATCTTCTTGTTGAACGTTGTCCCAGCTCTTACAGGTAACGCAGTTCATGAAAAAGATGTAATTTACAGATCATAAAGGCCGGTCAGAACAAGGAACTGTTAGTTTTAATGAAGACAGCCCTATGCAATGATGTAACCGCCGCGTAAAAGCTCCTCACACTTGCACAGTTTGCATTGACGTGCAGTCATAACATTTGTTCTGCTTTTAATGACTGTATAATACTGCTGATAAAGAAAGAGGAATCTATTTTTAACTCACCCACGTAACACTTGCCCACGCCAAAATTAACCGCTCGGGAGAAACAATGCTGAAGAATGCGACACTTTCATTGTTTGGAACTCTTATAATTTCCATGATGTCGCACAGTCCCATGGCTGTCTGCAAACAAAGGAAAACATATGGCACGGTCATATTACTAGCATGAGTAACTAAAGCTAACAGCTCAGGCATGTGTTCTGACCTATTAACATAGGAGGTTCCCCAAAAACAAACAAAAAAAAGACACGGAGTGATGCACATGATGGTCATGTGACATGTGAAAGAACTCTCTGTGGGTAGGGTAGGGTGTGTAAGGTCACTGCAGGTCACACAATGGCAGGCTCAGGTTTTTTGTTAAATGTAAAGTAGGAGTAAGCAACCTGGCATTCCAGCTTTAGTGGAACTAAAAGTCCCATATGGCATTGCAAGACTTTGACAGCCACAGGAATGACTCCCAGAGGCATGGTGGGCATTGTAGCTTTGCCACAAGCTGGTGTGCCGAGGTTGCCTACCCCTGCTGTAAAGGATACCTATGTTAAGAGGGACTGCTTAACTCCTCCTTAAAATTTTGATTGTCTCAGGCATTACTGGTTGGGTTACTGATGCCAAACATGTATCAAGGTAAATCTAAGCACATTTAAAGCCCAACATGAATTTCAATATATAGTAAATGAGCTAAATACATTCCAGGTACATCGAAAACTAGGGTGTGAAAAGCCTTAGGGCTCATGCACACGGCCGCCAGGGAGCCACGGGTGCTGTGTACGGCCTCCTATAGATGTCAATGGCTGTATGTGGGTATACACCGGATGTGCATAAACACGCCCAACGTATACCGGTCAGTACGGGTTACCTTTAAAGAAGAACTATGAGGTGAGTAAAAATCACTCGGGCTCATAGTTCGAGCCGACGTGTGACAAAGAAACTGTCACAGGTCGGCTCAATAGATCGCGAAGTGAGCGAACACATACCGGCGCTCGCTCACTTTAAGATCATCTCTCTGCAGAGAGCTGTGACTGTCATTCACGGCTCCCTGCAGGGATCCCCGCTCCGATCCTCCAGCGCTGACTGGCGTAACGGACGAGGGAGGGGGCGGGTATAGCTGGCTCTGACTCTAGATAGGCAGATCCAGCTGTCAATCACGCAGCTGGGTGGATCCAGACAGTAATGTCGGGATCCGTCCCGGCTGCGGCCTCTCAGTATACCGCAAGCAATATACTGAGCATTGGGTCACGGGAGGACACTATTTTGTGTCCTCCCGTGACACTTAGGAGAACTATGGGGAAAAACACTTACCCCTTAGTTCTCCTTTAAATGAATCACGTACTCAGTAAGGAAGTTGTTTAAGGTTACCTGTGCCCTAATTGATGTTTTCCACTGCTGAGTGTAAGGTTCCTGGGAAAACCCAAAGAAACAGAAACCTGTGTTGTAGGAGTCACCTGTGCTGTAGGAGTCACCTGTGCTGTAGGAGTCACCTGTGCTGTAGGAGTCACGGAATTACTCTATTTATTTGCCTCGGGCAACATACCTGAAAGTAGAACTGAATCTGCAGAACATTGTAACGCAAGAATCCTCTCACTCACCTTTCAGTTTTACAAAGTCTCAACTACAAATTAATTTATACAGAAAAAAAAAAAACCCACAGCATATGAAAGATGAATCTACTGCTTGTTAAAGTGCACGTCTGGACACTTCTTTTTTACGTTTTGGATAGAATGGGGAATAATTAGACATCCCGATGGGTTTTTAACTAGAATCTGCTGACTTCCCATCACAGTGACAATGGAAATACCAGAAAGGAAGGAACGGGGAGGGAGACAATAATACAAAGGGTTCTAGTCTTCCTATACTCTACTAAGAAATCAAAACAAAGGGTTTTTTTTGTACTCACCGACAAATCCTTTTCTCTGGGTTCATCGGAGGACACGGCTCTACTTAGGTCATCACCTACCAGGTATAGCGCCACCTGCGGGAGAGGGACGTAAGGGAAAATTAAGAAACAGTGGGCTAGCCCTTGCTGATCACCAGCCACCATGGAACAGCTCGGCAGTGCAAACAAAAACTAAAGCCGGTTGGGTATACAGGTATATACACTGAGTGGCCAGATTATTATTATGACCACCCCATCAGTACTTCGTTTGCCCACGAGATTACTTAGTTGGGTCGCCTCGTGACTCCACGAGATGATGAAAGGTGATGCGAGGAATCTGACACGGCACTGTTGCCCTTCTGTTGTCTTGTACCAGTCTTGCCGCTCTCCGTTCTGCCCTAACATTGACTAGTCGCTGGCGGCCACAATTCGCACGTTCAGACCCAGATTTTCGGCTGACAGTCCAGTCTTTAAACACTTTTTTTATGAATTCTTTAGTTATGAATGTAGAAAAGGTGAGAGGGCGGTAAGGGCGGGGGGAAGTACAGATATCTCCCAGCGAACTCCCAGTGGCTCCTGCTCTTACCTCTACATGGCCTGGCCAGTGGGCTGTCTTATACCGTCAGCCATAGGAGCATTCCACCTGATGGCCATCCAGGGCTGCATAGTCTGGGGACGTGATGAAGTCCGTCCAGTAGAACCAGGTGCAGTTGAACTGTGTTTCCCTGTGGTTTGCCGAGGCTAGGAGATCCTCCATCCTATAGATCTCTCCAACCCTTGTCAGCCACAGCGAAATCGGTGGTGCAGATGTGCGCTTCCAGTATAAGGGTATGCACACTTTCGCCGCATTTAGCAATTGTACAAAGAGTGATCTCTTGTATCGGCGTAGGGGCATGGGGGCCAAGTGGAGCAGGTATTCAGGCGGATCGGACCCCAAGCTAACTCCAGTCAATTTGTGGCAAATCTCTGCCACTTTACCCCAAAACTCATTGAGCCGTGGGCATGACCAGAATATGTGTATTAACGATCCCTCCTGTTCCTGGCAGCGCCAACAGAGCGGTGAGCACTGTGGAAACATTTTATGCAGGGTTTTTGGCACTCGGTACCATCTGGATAGGATTTTGAACCCCGTTTCCTGGATATTACTGGAGATAGAGGTTTTATGTATCATCTGGAAGATCCTATCTACCTGAGTCGCGGTAAAAGTGATTCCTAGGTCCTGTTCCCATTTAGCTATATACACCGGTTGGGAAAGACCAGGTGGGTCGCATAGCAAACGGTAGGA